TGAAGAAAGGACAGCGAACGGGTGGAGCGCAGGACTACAATAAAGTTGGAAACAGTTCAGAGTATAAAAGGCGAAGACGCGGCGACGCGCAAATCGCGAAATCATGCCGTGGTGCTGATGTAATAAAAGTAGGGAAGCCTGAGTATGATCTTAACTCCATTTCCATATGAGCGAAAAGTGTGCCAATAGGAGTAAGGGCCAGTATCGTTGAGTAAGGCTAAGCCGGAGCCATTTCCCGGATCAGAAATTGCCGACCGATATTTCTGAAAAAGACTGGGAAACGGAAAACTGAGAGCGGGAGGCCAAAGAATCAGCGAGGCGAAGACCAATTGCAAATGCGGTATATAGGTTGCAACAGGAGAGCACTAGCCATTGTATTATCTAGTATTCCGGCACCAACAGGGAACACACGAGCTTTTTACATGTACATTTAAGGGGATGTATGCGCCCATCATCGCCACTGGAGGTCGCTCATATCAGTTATTTACTACCACAGTAAGCTTTTGCACCTTATTCAATGGTTACACCGAGTACGTTGAATGGATCTCCTGTTTGCCAGTGGTTGACAACTCCTCAAACCGAGGTCTTAACTTTCCTCGTTGGGAAGGGTAACTTTCATTGTCCCGAAAAGAGAGTGCTTTTATAAGAAGATTACCACAATCCGTTTATTAATTGCTAATACAGTTATCACTCATTGATAGCTTACACCTGGTGTTAGACGCCAGATTATACTGAGAAGCCATGTGACCCTATGTCAAAAATGTAAAATAGTTATCCTTTAAAGTTTGAGCAACGGTACTGTCCGTTACCCTACTTCAAATGCATAACAGTATAACACCGTATTGACTTTTCTCGGAAGACAGTGGGCGATTCTACGTAATTACGATGCCATTTCAACAATTTTGAACGCGATAGGACGGAACATATACGAATACAAACCTCCCGCCGATGCTTTTCTGTTTTAATGAGCGCGGTATGGCCAATCATACTTTGAGCAGCCACAACGCTGTTCACCCCACTGAGACACGACATATATAAACACATAAATCAAGATATATTTCGGGACTTGGCGGGATGTTGTGTCTACGAGCGGTGAGATCGAAATATACACCAGTCCCGGGCTGTTGCGTGGTTAGTGAGAAGCTTGGGAGCTAACGCCCCTTGTACACTGATACCGTGCCAAGTAGTAGAGCTGGGAATTAAACAGTGTTTATCGCCGCATTTAGTAGATTTATAACGCTAAGTTTTCGGTAGGCGCAACACATGTACTGGTATCTTTAAATAAATTGTTGAACGGATTTACCGCGCTGAAGGCGCTGCGACTACCGTGCTTTACATCGGACCTCTGTCGATCCTTGTGCTCCCTGATATTAGTAGAGAGATATGGAGCGCGGCCGCATTCATGCTTAAGTTGATTACAAAGTATGATCAAACTTTCTACCAATTTTGCTCCAAACCTTTTGGAGTGTTTCAGAGCGTTCCGTGGATCCGTTTATTAGTGGACTCTAAGCAAAAACCAGGTTAGCGAAGGCGTTTGAAAGAACGAGAAAAGGTTACTATTAACAACTAATAAAAACAAATAAATATTAACCTTACTCCTAGTAAACATGACCTACATAGGCACATTTAAATAGACCAGTGAAAGGTTACCTTCGCAAATAACCAATGCATTTAGGACCAAAATTTGGCAAGCATGTACTTTCGAATATGGATACGTATCCAGAACTTTGCGATATAGTACACAAGCAGTACTTTCTAGGTACGAAATAGTTCGCCTGAACCCAACCATTTTAAGCGCACGCTTAAGAGCCGGTCGTGTAAGTCGGTTGTGCATTAACGTTCAACGAATTTATTACTTACCTTCTGTTAAGAAGCTTCCTTATGATAAAGCCATGTTTAATCAAAAGTATGTGTCGGCCAATAACACCACGTAACCGCTGGACCATTTACCATACAGACTTTAGAATAAACAAAGGTTCGAGGAGGCACGCAAATGGCTTTCAGCTAGCAATGCTACATTCAGAGCAACAGAGCTACAATTTTGTAGCAAGTAGCTGTATGTCTCTGCTGCAAGGATTATTCAACTTCGGTCTCCCAGCAAAAGAACCATAACTGTACTGATGTGTGTGTAACATTGGAGTACTGGGTTGGTTATTCTGTCTGAAAGAATTCAGCTTTTTCTGGAAAATAACCAAATGTTAGGTTCCCAGATGGTTTTGACCATGCCATACCACAGTATTCCGAAATTACTTTGCCAACGGTGTATGCCCGTGTCATATGTGTCCTGTTGAGAATTAGCACGGCCTGATTGTCCAATGCGCATGTGGGCAGTGGGGAACCTATCGGCTGAAGGAAAAATACCTCGCATGGGGTTAGATAACTTTCTCTCACTCATCTATTAAGGATCACAGTTTTTCACTGCAACTGGCTAACGAGTCGCGATGAGCCGGATGTCAGACTCTGAGCACCCAAAGGACCTATGCTGACCGGTATGGATAATGCGATGAAGCAGGAGTGCTTACAGTAAGGGAAACGGGATGGTAAATGTTATGCATTCTACCAGCACTCTTGACGGCTAGTCTAGCCAGAAACTTGCACACAACCCCAGACACACACACAAATTACGTCTGAAGTCCTGCTTCCTTATTGGTTCATCCTTTACCTTGCGGCAATGTTATGTACTCTACCAGTTAGACATTTATCAGATCACAATCGTTCGTTTACCGAAGTGAACTTCTTACCACTGCTCGGGCATTTGACCTTTCGTACAGAAGAGTAAAGTGAAGAGGAAACAACGGTGACCGATTAACAAAGCTATAACCATATCATTACCGTGTAAATAAATAAATACATATTTATTCGCGACTCTGCTAGGCACGTCCATGGAGGCATGCTCAATACCAGGTAAGGCTAAGACCTGTCACAATCTATCCTATGAAATTAGGTCAAGTATATAGCGTAATTACATATCACAATAAAGGAACTTATCAGAGCTTTCCAACCTGAAACGTTGCAAATAATATAAATACTTTACTTTGTTACTAAAGTTAGAGAATGGCCATGCTTGACGTTCCTCAGTCTGCTAAAAGTGCGCCAAGAGTTAGCCAACTAACCATTGCTTAGTCCCGCCATTCTAGAAGTGCGTCGTAGCTTCTAACATAAATCAGGTTTATACATTCACCGCCAACATTTTGATTTCACAGTATGATTGATTATAGCTCCGTTTGAACTGGATCCGAACTTTCACCATGTCATGAAGTCACATCATTGCGTTTACGCTCAGTACTATTAGCCTGCTTTATGCCTGAGAAACCCTCTCTAAAACTCAAGTTCAAGGGAATACCTCCGAGAACCCGTGAGAAGTCTACAATTCTACTGACTATCGTACGGACTACCCATTAGGCCAGTCATTAGGAAAAAATGCAACAAGTTGAAATGCTCATCACTGAAATACTCATCATTGTTGTGTAATGGTCTAGTTACCCCACATACATACTTTTCTGAATAACATAGATAGGGCCAACAAACGCTGACCAACGCCTGAAAGAAACCTTCGCAATCATTAGTAAAGTGTTTGCTAAAGCGCCACCGCATTGGCTACGGTATAAACCGCGGAAGTTATGTATCCGTGATGGCTTTTACCGATGGTCTGCGGCTTACTTGATATGCAGCTTCATCCATGTGGGTGATAACCAAGCACTCTTGTGCAAGCGTAATTGACCGTGATAATACGCAACTTTTAGTTCTTGAAACTAAACTCTTCCTCTTCCAGCAAAGACTACATATAGCTTCATGTATATTAGGTATATAAATTCATGTTTGAGGTTCATGCATTTCCATGTCGCTGCTAGTTTATAGGTTACGTATAGATAATTAAACGATTGACCAGGGAACTAAGGCTTCCATTAAGCGATGAAAATGCCCAATATGCTCGATCAGTGGTGGGAGTATTTTCATGCCTATCATTATGAATCGTCACAGCTCAAGTAACCTGATTTGGTTATGGACCGAGTGGTATAGTGTCACACATCTACCATCGGCACATGAAATGGTAAAAATTCGCCGCTGCTGCACCTGTTTTCCATTCATCCGGGTGGTTCAGAAAATCTTTATACAAATGTTCGTCACCCGCTAGCAGCCGATTTAAAAGCACGGTTCACCAGTTCACAGTTTTTTATTGTGTCCACTATGAAAATGCAGATTGAAGGGGCTCGAATTTTGTGTTATGGTTTCTGAATTTCATGTACACAATTTCCATTTAAAAGATAATGCTGCTCCTCGGGGACCAATGCAGTCACTAATGGAGTGCCTTTGCTTTGGGGTATATTCGAAGGGATGTACTTGGTAACTAGCGTTAATGAGTTTTGCTCTTCAAAATTTCAGGCTCGAAGTTAGTCATAACTGGAATCTATTTAATCAACTAAGAAAGTCACTTGGTCTACTCGTGCAACTGGTGGCTAGCATAATCCACAGTACTCCGTTGATCTTGGACAGCCTAATGGAATGTTCAAAAAGATTTTGATCTCCACCGTCAATGGATAAACAACCGTGCTGTTTTCCTTAGCTGCTCCGGTCCCTTGTGCATTTGTAATTACAATGACATGCAATGTTACTGCACGGAATTGGACAAGAGCAACAAGAGCCAAAGTATCTATTTTGCCCTCTGCAGCTCAGTGAACTCAAGTGCATTATCTCATAAAAATACTTAACAGATGTTTCATGCAAGTAGAGCTTAATCAAGTATGTGGAAATATGAGTAAAAGCATATAGCTAGGCTAATTAAAAGATAAAACGTTTTAATCGGATAAACTTTTTGTTTGAGCCACTCAAAAATTACTCATGTGAACGATACTGTTATACAAACCCTGCGATTGTATTAATGACTACTTGAACTACAAGACGCCAAATCCCGAAACAAAGCGGGTTATAAAGAACTTTCTGTATAAAAACAAATGACCATGTTTTGCAGAGCTTTGCTGGTTTTACCTTTGTTTGTTTATGCAAATTTCAAGGCCGTTTGGTCTTTGCATCAGCTGTCTGTCGTCAAGACAGCTGATTTGGCTCTTCCCTCAGTCCGCCTTCCTTGGTTTCGGTCTACGCGACTTCCACTAATATCTATCCGCCTGATATATGTACTGTCTCACTGCATTCATGTGAATTATCAATCATCTTTATCGGGTACCATATAAAACACACAGCCCCGCTTTTCCTACGTACTCGTCCCAAAAATATGCTGCTCTACTAACACTCATCTAAATCTTTGTTTTCGTTTTGAAACTCAACCAATTACTGTGCTTCACGGAATGTTGAAGCATAGAGCCTCCGCGATGTCCTCAGGTAAGCCAAACATTTCTTTTGATTTCTTTAGTTTGTCCCATCGGTTTAGGACCTATGACCCTTAAGAACTCTATATGTTCGGTGGGTCAGCTTATCCTTGAGCAACATTCAAAATGCTTTGGTAAATTTATCTATCATTCGGAAACCGACAATGAATCGTCGAAAGTGGAGACTACCGCGGATGTTCCCTACATTCCCGAAATCACGAATTCCCTGCTCCTCGATTGGGTCGCTGGGCAACATGAGATGCACTTGGCACATCCCGCTCGCATTTCCGTGGTAATCGAAATGCTTATCCTAAGTGATGTTTGTCGTAAACACCTGGAAGCTGATAAACTGTCTGCCTTTGTTGTCGAGCAGTGGACAATCACATATTCTACCAATAGGTAACCTACACTAGCTTTGTTTTTACCTTCAGCTTCCTGCAAATTATCTTTTTATTCTTATAGTACTCATGCTGGACATTCCAAGTTGTTGTCGTTTTATCAACTCGTGAGGTTTTCTTAGCCAATTTTGTCTATGATTTTATCCCACTAAGCTTAGACTTGTTTGTTTTAGCTTCACAACCGATTGGATGCTTTTGCTTAACAAACATTCTCCCATCGTTTTGTCTCTAATGCTCTAGGTTCAAACGCCACTGTAAGCTTATTTAAACTTTTTTGGGTCATTCATTCGCTAGCGTTTACCTTCGATGACAATGCTGGCATTCTCTCTGTTGCTTTCCGCAAGCGTTTACTCTTGATTTTCCTGCTCATTAGTGCTACTGTATTATCAAATGCTTTTGGCAACATTTCCCCTGGAAACTTGTTTCCTTATGCATTAAACATTTTTGATGTGATCTTACTGGTTGCTCGTTTATTCATAGACCTGGTCTCGTATCCTTCTCGGTAGTCCATGTGGTTTGCATTATATTTACATGGAAGAAATGAACCTTGTGGTTATTCGTACGGTATTACTGTAGCTTATGGTTCATCATTTTAATATTTTCACATGCAGTTTCATATTTGAAGCTGTGCATCATGTTTTCATGAATGATTTATCGATTAAAACCAGCAAGCTTCAGTATTTCTTGCATAACTACGATCCGTGTTGACGATAATTTCTGGAGTCATTTGGTCTTTCGCTACACAATGCGAATATGAGTGTCAGTGTTGTTCTCTATTGCACGGCGTCTGGTTCGTTCTCCGAAATCCAGCTGTGCTCGTTGCATTGCCTATCTGTTTGAGCTCGTTACTTTGTTCCATGCCATCATACCTTGCTTTCTGCTGTCTCCCTGGTCAACCAGTTATATACCCCTTATACATCCTTTATATCTTGAGTTCAATAACCAAACTGTCGTTGCGGCGGTGATCGTGCTTAACTGGTTCTCTGACTAAAGTTGCTCCTTCACCTACAATTTTATACAATACTGGACTCATGCTAGAGGCCACTTCTGCAGCTTCAACTATTGAAAGAAACCATAGTCTTTGTTATTGCAAGATTGCCCTCCCCTTCAATGCAGTGCAACCCGCATCACACGACTGACCGAAAGATGTCCGCTGAATTTACCTTTGGAGCACCCTAGGTGACCGGTTTTATGCCTCAGGCTGTCATTGAGATCTTTGGAACGAAATTTGGTCAGTCGCAAAGTTTTTCTTATGCAGCCATACGATACACTGGATGCAATTTTTCTTGACTGTATCGTCTACACTAGGCGGGAATTGCTTCCCAACTAGGGGTCAGATGATACTAAAGCCATAAGGCTACGCCGAAAATTTGGAATGATCGATATTCGTCCCAAACGGGTTTTCTCTGGGACGCTCACGGGCATAAAAAGGGATCACTCAGGGTACTCAAACGGTCATTTGTGCTGATTGAACATACGATTTTGTTAAAAATGAGTACTGACTTCTAGTGAAAAGTCGATAGTGTAATGATGTTTGATATTATCTGACAACTTATTGGGCTAGAACGCGTTTTGTTCTCCTATTTTTGTCTCTGTGATCAAAAGCATGCTCAAATGGGACTGCTAGTTGTCCATCAGTGCGCGCATGGAAACAACTCTCTAAATACTCAACGCCACAATAAAGCAGGGATTTAGCATCACCCACTGGTGCCTTATCACTATGTTTTATGTGCACTGTTCTTCACCATCGCACTCGGGCACCGGGATCATTATTTCGCTTTCTATGTTTGACGGTATTTGGTCCCGGATTTACCTTTCACTGCGGCCTCCGCAGGACGCCTGCGCCTACAGAAGGACCATGTGTGGATTGCGCTGCCTCACGCACAGCTCCATCCACGCACCCCATAGCCCGTATAGACCCGAAGAAATAAGACCGAGAGGTATGTGAAAGCGAGCCACGTATCTTCAACAGAGCCGACCAACACTCCCTGCACATGCACATCAGCAGCATTCATGCCTATTTGGGTAATTATACGTACCCGACATACCCAAATCGTTGGATTGGCCGTACCGTCGCAACGAGACTGGACTTTAACATGGTGCGACCGTTTGCATATCTCCTCGACCGCTTGAACTATACTGGGTGGGGCTGCCGGACCCCTTGTGAACTATTCCTACCTGGTTGATCAATGGTTAGAGGTCAGACGAACTCTGTCTCCTGGTCCTCCAGGTTGGAAGTTTGAAGTGGGATGGCACCCATTAATGTAGAACCGAATCCTTGCCACATCCGCTGCCTTGCAGACAGCCTTTTGAGCCATACGCTTTGATTGAAAACCCTACTTCTTTTCCTGTCTATGTCTGGGTGCCCTGGCAGTATATCAGTCCGCGTAAAACCAAAACTGTCTCTTCAAACTCCGGCCACATCCTGCATCAGCCGTAGCGCAGCTTATCAAGGGTCGCCTTATCTGTTACATGAAACAGGGGAATAAACGAAAACATGATACTGCGGGGGTCTACCTTCTTTCCTTTCCACCTCTCTCTTACTCCCCTCCCAACTCGCATCACTGATTTTCCCACCACAATTCCCAGCTTACTTGACAGCAATCCCAAGGCTACTGCAGTTCTACGATCTGCATCTATCTTCCCGCATCCCCACTGGACGCAAATCGCCGATAGCTCATTGTAAGGCCACACTGTCCCGTCTATCTTGCGGCATTCAACGCCGCACTTTAAGGCAATTAGGTCAACGGGTTCCACTTCGCACGCACGTTAGACACGCTGGGTATTGACTTGTGCTGTGTGTCCGAAACTAGAACCAATGATCCTCACGGTGTTGTTGAATTAACTGCGCCCAGCTTCTCCTCTCGATATTGGTTGCACACATCCGGAGACACTGATGTGACCTCCGCGGGTGAAGCTGGGTTGGGTATTTTTCTCAGCTCCAGGGCTGAGTCATCGTTGCTTGACTGGCTTCTCGTGAACAGCCGTTTGTGTGCAGTCCATTTGATGACATCAACTAAACCTAATTCACATGGTAGTACTCGACGCTGTTTGTTTGTGGTTTCAGCTTATGCTCCCACCGACTGCTGTCAAGGACACCGGCTACCACGAACTGAACACGCTGCTTCGCATTGCTGTCAGTTCCGATATCATAGTGCTTGCGGGGGTTATGAATGCGCAAGTAGGTCATGTGAGCTCTTTACTAGCTTTGTTAGATGATAATTATGGCTTTACTCCGACCGTACACACAATGGCTAGTATCTGTTGCAACTGTGCGCGGAGCACCGACTGTTTCTTGGTAGCACCGCTTTTAGACACGGACGCTGAATTGCCACTTGACATCCACATATGGCTGGCCAGCGATGGACCCAAATTGCTCACGTTGCCATGAATTACAGGTGACCTGGTTCCATACTGGGCTCGCTCGTTCTTGAGTACCTGCGTCTACTCTGCTCATGCTTTGGTACTAGGTCCTTTTTCCATGAACTTTACCGGTGGGACGTACTAAGCGCCTCCCTCGATTGGCACCGAAGTAGTTATCTCAGTCCTCGGTCAAACCTGCTAGGATGCCCTGCGTATCGAACTTTCCCTCTCCTGTCCTAACGACACTGTGCTCCACTGAAACAAGATCTCGGCCGCGATGCACGATGCGGGAGCATCTCCTCGCGGTACCATCATTCCTCACCACACCAGTCATTGGATATCCGAGAGGTCAGTGAACCTGTTGGAATCTCGAAGAAATCTCCTAATTGGCTGTGCACATAAGCTAACTGTTAGGCACGAATTAAAGCGGAGCCTGTATGCTGACAAGGAAACCTGGTGGACTAGTTGGGCTCAAGGAATGGTGTAGGCGGGAGCAGTAGGCAATTATCGCAAGCTCTTCCAACTGATCTGCACCACTGGTCCCAAGAAACCAGGCGTCAGTGAGACAATCAGAGACAGCGCGGGTGCACTGATACACACTAAGGAGCGCCGTACAGCGCGTTGGGCGGAGCTCTTTCGGGTTCAGTTCACTTGGTCCCCTACTCCTGGACCTCTTCCTGCTCAGGTAGTACAAGCTAAGCCATGGCCGATTAGTTTAGAAACACCGTCGAAGGACGATGTCAAAAACGCGATCTCAGCCCTTAATTGCTTTCGTGCTGCTGACCCGGATTCCCTCCAACCTATGCTAATTAAGGATGGTGGTGAGGTCATCTGCAAAACACTAACCTCCGCTTCGAACAAATCTAGAATAAAGAGACCATCATAGCCAACTGGTATGAATCGATTATAGTGGTGACATACAAGGTCACTCGCACCGACTGTGATAACCATAGAGGTATAGCCAGTGGTGACAAAATTAATGGCCTCAGTTCTCGTTCGTCGCCTCACTGCGAAACCGGAATCCCGGATTAGGGCAGAGTAGTCAGGCTTCCGACCAGGACGTGGACCCCTAGATCACATATTCACTGGCAGGTGTTAGACCAGCGTCACACGTACTACAGGCCGACAGTAACTGTGTTCACGGACCTCAATAGTACGTTCGATTCAGTCGACGGATCTATTCTGTTTGAGATACTTGTGGGGAAAGGTGTTCCCATGAAATATGTGAACATTTTACGCTCCCTGTACTCGAACACCACAGGGTGCATCAGGGTCTACAGTGACTTATCGGATATCTTGACAACAAGTGTTTGTCAGGGTTCCCCAATTTCCCCATTTTTGTTCACCTTCGTCGTGATCTCTGTGGAGTATTCTCTTGCGGAGCCTCGCGATGCAAACGTTGAGGTGCTGCCTGGTGAAAAGCTGGTTGAGTGTGCGGACTATATGGTCTTTTTAAAGATGTTAATGCCGTCCGTTCAACTTTGAACGACCTCTCTAGGGCGGTCCCATCGTTTGGCGTGCGCTTTCCCCATCAAAGTACAAATTGCTGTTACAAGATCACTAGCCACATGATGACCCATTGACCCTTGATAACAAAGGACTCGAGGTAGTTGATCAATTTACTCACCTTGGCAGCTGCATCGGCAACGATGGGCACATATAGACTGAAGTCAGTATACTTGTTGCAAAAGCCCGGATTGCTTTCTTGAATCTGCGACACCTGTGACGTTAGCTAGTGACATCTCTTGGTCCGAAGGACACGTTTACGAAGCCACAGAGAGGGCGGTCATACCATATGCGAGTGAGACTTAGTCTCTTTGGTCTGATCCTAGGCACCTTAAGGTCTTTGCTCATCGTTGTCTGCGGAGCTTTGCTGATGTCGGATAGCACCGGCTTGTCCGCAAGGATGATATGCGTAGGCGCGTACTAGGCAGTTCCTTAGAACAACAGAGTACTGAATAAGTTGCTTTGGCTTATGCACGTACTACGTATGCCCGATCACCGCTTGCCTGTCGGGCCGTGTTTTGTTTGCCGGATGCAGGGTGGCGCAAGGTTCAAGGTGAGCAAGTTACTGACGACCAAACTCGATGTCATCTGTGCGTTTCGCATTCCAGGCTGAAGTCCACGTGACCTGACTTGTGCTTGGTTTGAGACGTTGCAGGATACGGCTCGTAGTTGACACCAGTGGCGTGTCTGCTGTCATCACTTAGTCTGACTACCTGTTTAGATGCGTCGGAAGCTGGGTTATCTGCTGAATAATGACTGATTATGACGCGGGACAGTGAAAATCACAAGGGAGCAGTCTCACTGATACTGCCTTATCTTTGCACTATAGCAGCTGTTTGTGATGGTATGTTGTTGACAAGGTGCAGGCACCTTGTACCTGAATGTTTGCTTATGGCATTAAGGTTTTAGGCTATGTCTCTCTTCTCTCCCTCTTATTATTCTTTGTTCCGTAAGTCACTATGGTTGTATGGCAGCGAAGCATCAGTTCAAATGATTGGTATATTGCGGCTGTTGGCTATGTTGATGACGGGGACGTAGCCCGCTCCAACTGTCTCCTGGAGCCGGTACAATCGAGGTAGTGATTTCTCGACTGGTAGGCACCTTGACAACATTCAAATCCAACTCAACCAAACCGGGGATATCAAACAACTGACACAGAATTTAAAGGAAAATAAACGCGCAAAATTTACATGAAATATGCAGCAGAATACCATTATTGAAAACAGCAAATAAAGTAAACTACTTTTTATCCAGCTTAATAAGACCTAATTTAAGTGTAAGTGTATGCCGATGTATCCCAACTGCGGTGAAGAATCATTATGCCCGCAACATCAACCGTGGCATGCCGCACCATATGCAGACGAAGAAATATGAAATTAACTAAACACGCAAACTGTATAGTAGAGGTACGGCTTTATGACGGAACGGAGCAACTAAAAAGATGTACTTGTTCTAATCTATTGTCAGGGCGATCTTGGGCAAGTATAAGTATTTCTATACTACCTTTCCGACATCGTGCTTCTTTCTATTGTTTTCTTTCCTACATCTGTGTGAAGATACTCGTCTCCTTTTGCGAGCACCAACTTCTGATACGGCACCCGCCGGAGAGTGACATGGCGCCCACCAGCCTCGGAGCAACCGTGGACGCAAATCGATCATATTGCGGTCAGTTACCGCTTTAAAGTATACGTTCCGAACTGTCGCTCGATTTGGAATACTAGCGTGGACTCTGACCGCGCACTTTTTTGCGCCGATGTCCAGGTGCGTTTCGGTAGACTTCCGCAACGTCGATGTAAGCACATTGACACCAGCCAGATGGCGAAGCCAGATGTTTTGAATGCATATCAAAATACCTTGGCATTCGGGCTGAGTAAGCGCCCGCTGAATACCGTCGAAGATCACTGGTCGCATACTCGTTAGACGTTACTATCAGCAGGCATATCTCCGTGTGGCAAATCAGCCTAAACGTTGGGTCTCTGCACAGTATCTGGAACTTTTGGATGCTCACCGGCGTATTCTGGCTAAAAGCGAACATAACAAGACTCGCAAAAATCAGGACAGAACTGCGTGCTAGCATAAAGAGAGTCCGCGAATCCTGGTGGTCTTGTCGTGCGTCGGAGATGGAAACAGCCGCTCCCCTTGGTAACCATCGTATGCTATGCCGTTTGATACGGGAAACGGGCAGCAGGAAACCTGGTGTTAACGAGATGCTACGCGACGAGAACGGATAGCCGATCCACAGCTTATCAAAGCGCTTGAAATGTTCGGACGAACACTAAGAAGCATTTTAATCAATCAGCGTTGCCAGTTTCTCCGTCGGCCAACGTGAGATCAGACGGCTGAAATTGAACAAGGCCGCCGAAAGAGATGGACTTCATCCAGCTCTCTTCAAGTTTAGGGGACCTGCTCTTCTGGACGATTTACATAACTTACTAGTGAATCTACGAGAGCAGGAGACTGTCCCGACAGATTCGAGGCGTTCCGTAATAGTGCCAGTTTTCAAGCGGGACTACCGTTCCGAATGCGGCAGTCATAGAGGAACCAGTCTGATCTCCATTGTCTGTGACATACTTGCGTCTGTCGTCTTCCATAGACTGACTGGCACTCGTGAAAGCTAGATGCTCGAGGAGGAAACCGGTTTTCGTCGAAATCGAGACTGCATCGATCACATCTTTACATTACGTCAGTTGGTGGAACAGCGCCATGTTCATTGGTAACCCATCGCAGTCGTATTCCTATTTATCAAAGCGGCCTTTGATTCGATTGTTCGATGTGCCCTTTGGGACTGTTTGCTCAGGAAAGTTGAGCCTGAGAAACATCTAAACTTGCATGGCAGTGGAGTATAAGGCGCGCTATATGTCATTTCGCTTGTAAATCATGACGGTCCGTATCTGTCCCACGTGGCCCAGGAGCATAAGCTACTGACTGGCGGTCCAAGCCGCTGGTGGTCATGCGTTCGAATCCTGATGGATCGGATGGACGCGCACTACTGACGGTGCCCAACAAGCTGAAACTGCAGTTTAGTGCTTTACTGGGCATATATATATATATATATATATATATGCCCAGTAAAGCACTAAACTGCAGTTTCAGCTTGTTGGGCACCGTCAGTAGTGCGCGTCCATCCGATCCATCAGGATTCGAACGCATGACCACCAGCGGCTTGAACCGCCAGTCAGTAGCTTATGCTCGTGGGCCACGTGGGACAGATACGGACCGTCATGATTTACAAGCTCGATGCGCTTTTGCTAATCTCTTCCATCTGTGGCGCCGGCAGGACTCTGAAGGCCAGTGTTTACAATGCAGCCGTCCATACAACACTCCTGTTCCGTTGTGAAACCTGGACTATCAGGTCGACATACAAAAAGTGGTTAGATACGTTCGATTATTGCTGCAGCTTAGCTCATGTCTGTTGGGAGCACCGCGTGAGCAATAGGCGTGTTCAGCAGTGCGTATTTGGTGCAGGCAGAGCGAGTGATCCGCTTAGCACCATTGTATCATGCACCAGACTCCACGCGTTGCGCATGCCAGTCCACCGACTCCCGCGACTTGCGTTGTTTGAGTGGCTGGGGTGGGGATGGACAAAGCGAATGGGAGGCCAAGCGATTACTTGGTCGAGAGAAATGAAGTCTTTCACTTCGGAGTTGTCGTCGGTTGGTGTTTCCAGACTGCCTAGCTGGGGACCGAAGGAGGATGATTACGTTTGGTTGGATACACTAGCTAACATGACAGAGTCGACATCAGTGGCGTTTGTGTTGTGAGTCACTTTGTCCCTCCCCTTTAAGCTTCCCCTTCAACAACCCTCACAAATGTGTTATTAGCGCTATGTTGCTTTTTTCTAGCTTTTAAGTCTACATTGCTAATGTCTTACCTTTCGTATTGCAGCACATTGCTTTAGTTGTGTTTCCTACCCTTGGCTAACATGTATTGATGATGATGATGATGATGATGATGCATCCAAATTTTTGCGTCAACCGTTGTGTTTTGTGTATCGCAATAAACCACCTAACATGCATTTGTTTCACTTGCGATCCCAGTAATCGAACTGATTGACGTTCACTAAGACGTGACTCCTAGTCCTAATTGAGTTTGCGTGTCGCAATCCATTCACACAAAGAATGCTCCAACATGGCCCATCCAACAAGTCATTGACCCCATTGTGACAGGCGTTCATCGTTGCGATTCGTTGGCTTATAGGCAGACGCTTCGGCCGACTTCCTGAATTCGAGTCGCAGCCCTGTATCACGCGAACAAGTAAGAAACCGATTGTGGAGTAGTGCAGCGAGTAGAAAATACACATACCATTCACCATCTCTACGCCAGTTTTCTTTCGAGCTCTGCTTTAGCCATCGGTTTTCCAATCATTCGAGAAAGCCTGTAAGGTTTGCTCTACTTTGACCGTTTTCTGCTTTTCAGCGTTTATCACCATGCATTTTGACACTGTAAGTTGCACCCTTACTCACTGATATCTCCTCGATTCATCTAGTCCCCTTTATAATACGCGCCTAGTTTGATTGTTTTCCTTTCTTTTTGCCAGTTTGATGGAAACTCAAGGTGACGACATGATCTCCCTCCAAAAAGAAATCGAAGGTTACTTCGTTTCCTCTCCCTTCTCATTTTGGCTGAGAGAACACTTTCAATCAAAACGGCTGAGACTTTTTCATCGGCAAGTGATCCAACGTTTAGGCTGCCCTGTTTACTCTTCTCATAACTGCTCAGTTGAAGTTGTGCTGTGCTGTTGGATTAGTATTTGCTAGGCTTACTTTTTCAGATAGCAGTCTCCGTTCCGCTTATCTTGCGCAGTTCGGCTTTAATTACTTTTTGGCTCTCTTATGTCTTGTCATCGTGTTACCATATATACTGTGTGAATTTTCAGCCATTTTCTCGACTGGAGATGTCACTGTTTATCCGCTGAGGTTAGTTCTGATCGCCTAGCTGTTATTCAGTAAGTTGGGTTGTCATTGTCCACGTCTACATAGTCCGACTCTGTAAGTCTCCAACACCCTTACTCAGCCTCTTGGGAGTTCTACTTCAAAAGCGTTTCGCCAAGACATACTAGATTGTGTGCGGTCGTCCAGTCTTTTAGCTTGCCACCGGTGGGGCACTGGTTTAAACGTACGTTGGCGCAAATTGCATCGAAATATCCCTACCCGCATGTAACCGCTAATTGCTACGCAGCAAAGAAACGTCAGTAAGCAATGTCCAGCCTACTGTTGTTGTCTTCCTTTGGATATTAGTTACCAACCTTTATTTACGATATTCTTTCGCGTACTTTTAATATCCGCATTCATTATATTCGCTTTAATTTCACCTGACTCCAGCAACATAGGATGTTAGACGGTTGCGTTTTGGATGCCGTCTTGTTTTTAATTATCAAACCCAGCACACTTCGAGGATTTTGGCGAGCATATAAGGCGAACCAGCGTGTGTATTACAGTTTACAGGACACGATGAGATTCAGTGAAACGTTAGTGGACAGCGGGCTTCCGTGAAATGAATAAGATCAGTTATCCCGGTGCCATTAAATCCCATTCTGTCTTACCCGAAACATGAGCTTCCGATTAGCCAGAAGCTGAGGATAACCAGCTTTCCATCCTTTGACTTGGTCCTTAGTTTGCGCACTTTGTAGGGCGGTTCAACCGGCCTTTGGCTCCACTACTTGAACCTATCTGGGACGTTAACATCGCATCTTCTGCTTTGACACCCCTGGAGGAAAACAGCACTCTATAGTCCAACTATCCTTTTTGTTCTTACAACAAGGCATTTGGCGCCGAATAACCCTTGGATTTTCCGGTTTACTTGAGAGTATGATGCACTAAGGTGATATCTTCTAGCTCGGGGTTTACAGCAATCGATTGCGTCACTAGCGGGCACTGAAGACGGTCCTGCGAACATCATTTATCCCTTACTTTCGATCTTCTTACCTTTACTGTTCCTGTGCACCATACTTTGGTGGCGCTTTGGTCTTTTCGAGAGTCGACTTAGTGAAAACCAGGTTGTGTTCACCCTCGGCCTAGTGTGTTTTTGCCATAGTGTTGCGGTTCTGCTGGTGTCGGAACTGATTTATGCACAAATACTGTATACCATAATAACTACCCTTATCAGGTGTTTATGTGCTCACCAAGCTCAGCCTACAGACGTTTCATCACCAAACGAGAGCATATCGTCATTACTACACGCCGATGTCTGGTGATAAAACGTTTGCAATCTGATCACCAAGCACATGAACACCTGAACATCTAACCCGAGCTATCTGTGTTTCGAGTGATTTCGAACAATTTCCTATAGTTCGTGGTTACCATTTCCCCTACTGGTGGCTAATATTTATAACACTGTCTGTCGCTGAATATTTGCTCCATAAAATCCCTACACTGCAACTCTAAGGTCAACAAGAAGATACTTCTCGAACCCAGCACGACAGGGGAAGTGAATCAAGCCTACGTTATCTCTCTTCTTCGCATCATTTTTGTAACGCATAGGAGTACGCATAACTTTCTAGGTCCTTCGATTAAAAACTCTACCTTCATATACGATTTATCTTTTATCCAGCCCTTACACGGACTGTCCTTGATGTATTAACACCACACTGTGCACTTCGGTATGTGCTTTACACCTCCTGCTTTCAAGTTCTGCCATAGGAATGGACCGGGATACCACCAGGTTTTACCATCCTCGAATAGCCACCGGATGCAGTTGGCGATTTCCACTGGCTTGTTGCATACCTCCTCTCTGGGGATCAACTCATCGACTGGATTATTTCGCGCACCGATGATGTCCATGTGGTTTTTCAAAGCCTTATTAACTTGCGGAGACGGTAATCAGGTCCGTTAGTACAGCGCTGCCACTTTTTATCGTACGCATCAGAGATGTTACCACAACGTTTCAAAAAAATTCGAAGCTTGGTTATCTTTGTTGTAACTAGTAAGAGCATCAAGCGTACAATATGAATGTTTGCCATTCGATGTTTGTTAAACTACGCTTTCCCGACTCGGTGAAACACACACTGTCTAGGCCACCTTAATGCATAACGATGGACGAGGTCACACTATGAGAAGGTAGAAATCACCAAAATCTAATCGGGTCAGAGTATATCACCTTGAATAGCAATTTCTAGATCCACTTTGCCCTTTCAGATTAAACTGAACGCTGAAGGTACTACCGGCAGTTACCACAGGCGCTCTTTGGACAACTATTCAAACTATCCTCGCGTGCCACCGAGACACCATTCGAAGATAGTGATGATGTTCTGCGCAAACATTACACCCACTTGCTAGTAGGAGAGGCCAACTAGGAGAGCCAACTAGGGTGGATAATCCATTGGAACCACACTCGAGAGGATTAGTCGCAGCGTCTGCGCTACCCACGGGATATCAACTTGAAACCGATAGTGATGAAGTTATTGGCCTTCATTCACGTTCATTACCCTACCCCGGAACGAGTATCCTAAATACGAAAACTTAAGTGATTTCCCTCCGGACGTCTCTGTGCAGATCATCACAGGTACTGGAGCTGCGTTGCACGTTCCGCTGACTGGCTTTAGCTGTATTCAACTTTAAGCCTTTGTTCAGCTTGTGCTATGTTCTCTCATTTGGTATAATGGACCGTCGATCTTTTTCCGTGAAATGGATGGATGCTTTACGGGTTTTATACTCGAACATCGCAGTTTGAATCAGGTTTCAGTGTAAGTTATCGGAATCCTTTTCAACCACAATTAGAGTTCCTCTGAATTGTCGCATTTCCCTATAGCACTGTAATTTAAATGCGAACCCTATCACGAATGTTCTGGTGAGCTTTACGATGCGGGCGTTTAGGCACTACTGTGAAGTGTCCATTTATATGGACTAATGCCGGTGACCTCACCTTGCTCTTTGACAATCGTAACGCTGTACAACCAACTGATAAAGTGTAAATTGCCTGTATAAGATAACTAACCACTTGCTAGCCCTTGGGCTTTTATTGACGCGAAACTTGCGACTGTTGAGTAGTCTATCTTAGCAGTTGTATTTTCGACGGGTGTGTGGTTGGTGAAATTAACAAACGTATCAATCTGCCGTACTCTTCTCTTCTTTCCTCTTTTTTAAGTGTCTTCTTTTCTGAATCACATTAAGAGCTATCCTCCTCGGTCACAATACAACCTTATCCTTACTTTCAATTCCTTCCTATCGTTGCATTCGAAGTATTAGTTATGTCGATTAACCTCGGTAGCCTAAAGGATCACAAACCTGCCTTGTAATCCGAGCAGGTGGGTTCTAGCCTGCGTAGGGGACCGGTCCACCCTCGCACTATCCGTAGTCCATGCGCAGCTGTGGTTGCGCGGCAGCGAAGCGTCGGTACTTGTTAGGAAGGAATACGCAATGCGAACAAGCCAGGACCCCATCGCCGCGGCAAGCGATCCAAACTCACCCGCGCTGATTGGGGCGAACAGAGAGCCAATCGGGAGAAGCGGCCAATTAACGCGAGGGCGGCGTTCCTTGATTTGCTGTAAGTTGACCTTTCCAGAGCTTTCCACGTGCGCTTTAAATACCATTCACGAACTTTCCATTTCACCTTTATAATGAACGGTGTGATTCACTAATACATCCCTGTTGCTCTGCTCGTCCGATCCGGTCTTCTCTCTGTCCTGTGCGGGGCCAGCAACTTCGGGTTTTGTTTGGGATTCAAACATCCATTCAGACGAGTGACAAACACTTCAGTACTGCTTACCGGCGTACTACTGATACCCTTTTTAGTCGAGCGTTAAAAGGTGATGCTCGACTATGATTGGTTCCTCAGCAAATTAGATGAAACAATTTGCAGCTTCGGACACGTTATATACTTCTGCTCAGCGCTGACTGAAAGAAGCGTTGTTTTGTTCACCCGATGTTGGAAATCGTGGGTTCGAGGGGGCGATCATTAAGCGGCAACGGAACATGCAGCTGCTGACCACTATACAGTGGGTTCTCCAGTCTTTCAAGTTGGTGTTAACATGATGCGCCTCCTGCTTTGCTTAGTCTACTGAGAACAGCTACTGCAATTGATGGATGGGTTCATTTACCTTGGTAGTGTCCGGGAGAAAGTAAGAATTGCCTTGGAAATTCACTATTTTAGCGATTAATTGATTATTAACGATTATCGCGTCGATTTCGGACGTTCCGGAATGTTCTTCTTCTGCACGTGATTAAAAGCCACCTGACACCTCGGCAAAAGATATGGGGAACCACTAACCTTGGCAGCTGACTTTCCAATTCTAGAAGTCGAAGGTCAGTAGAGACCTATAAATACAGCCAAGGTCCGCATTCGTTGTACAGTGTTCGTTGGCGGCGATTAATACGTTGTTTTGTCAAGGGCATTGGCATTTTGCTGTTTTCCTTCGGTTAAGCTAGAAGTTTTGTGGAGCAGTGAATTGTTATTTTTGGAGTTGCGTCTAGTGAGCAGATTATAACAGGTAGTTTGCGGCACCTCTGATGTTCACAGCACTGTCGTGGGTACTTCGCATGTCAGAAAGCCTATGTGACTTTACAGATGTCCAATAATTTATGGAGACGGCGACCTATTAGCCTGTCAGTTGAGGGTAGGATTCATAACTGCGATAGGACCTGTGTTACTGTATGGATGAGAGGTTTGGCCATGCTCCGTTGGGTGAGTAACGTCGGAGTTCGTCAGTTGGTGGCTGGCTGGAATCCCTCGGTTCCTCACTGGAGTGTCTGTTTTACACGAATCGCCTGCGTTGACTAGGTCATGTTCTCTTTATATCCTTTAACCGCCTTCCTCAGCTTGTCTTATATGCTGTCGCTTCAACTAGTTGGGCGAACGCACCAAGTGGCCAGCCGATGATGTGCATAAGGACAGGAAGGAATTTACTACAACTTGGCCAGAATGCTGTCTACCGTATTCCTGAACAGGTTTTCAAGATTTGTCACATAAGGGTTTGGAGTCCTTATGTGACATTGCATACTCGCGCAGTCAGTATTACTCCTACATTCGGTTTCTTGCATATAGATATTACTATTCCACTCCGATTAATTTTGCTCACCTTCCTAACTTCCTTTTCTTGGTGTTCTGTCAGCGTTCTACTTTTTCCACTATTGTTTCTTGTTCTCCTGGTGACGCGAGTCGTAGCAGTTGAACCCAGCGCACTTCGGTGTCTAGATCCTAGTTATCTAACTGTCTACTGGGTAGTGGATCTGCGCTTGGATCCGTGGATAGTACAGAGCTTGCTTCCCGTGGTATTTCTCTGGATACAAGCCTCCTAAGACTGAAAATCTTGGAACATATTTGGAACCGATCGGGAAGTCCTAAGACTGTTCGCAGTCACAAGGACAGGCTAATCTGTAACCGTGTACCGCCAACCATGTGCGGTTGTATTGTCCTGAGGTTTTGTTTCGTGAAATTGATAATGACACTGGCAAGTGGGAGCTGATTAGCAACTTTCTTTTGCAACAGGTGACTAGTGAAGAAGACTTAGGTATCATCGTTCAAGAACGTCTAGGCAATTCGCTCCAGTGCTCGAAAGCAGCGAATGTGGCGAACTTGAACTTAAGGCTTTTGACGCGAGCTCTCTGCACCTTTGAGCGACGGCTAGTACCACTGCTGATAAACACATATCTTTGTCCCCATGTTGAATACCTGGTTCAGGCCTGGCGCCCATGGTTAACACGAGATATTCGTCTTTTGAAGCAACCCCAAAGAACATCTACCAAAGCAACACGTGGACTATGCAGTCTAACTTGCGAACTGCATCTTCGTTTACTCGATGTGTTCTCTTCAGAATACAGACGGCTTCGCGGGGATCTCGTCCTCACATACCGGATAGTAACTGAAATCGAGCACCTATGTACATCGCCGTTGACTGTAGCCCCCACAAACAATGTTGAGGCCATCGACTGAAACCGAAATGAAATGTGTCAGCTTATACGCCGTAACGGCGCTTCGCTGCCGCGCGACCACCACCAGTCGCGCGCGGGCTGAGTATACCGCGAGGACGCCCACCCCTACGCGGATTCGAACCGGTGACCTTATGGTTGCAAAGCAAACGTGCCGCAGCACTCCCGTTCGGATTGTAGGCAGTATTTTCACTCTCTTAGAATCTGTTACCACTAGAATGCACTACCAACACAGGTGGTGAACGCACCAGATTTCGCGACATTTGAGAGAGTTCAAGACCATTTTAGCGTTAAACGCCACACAACGGTGTGATAAAGTGCAATGCCTTTATCTCTGATGCTTCACATTCCACGTTGGAACATTTTTTGCCTTTAATTTTCTTGTAAATTTTCCATCCTGTAGATCTTTTTATCCCATCATACACTATTGAACTATAGCAACTTATTTTCATGCGATGACCGGTTATCTGTCACTGCTCTGTTTGCAACTCTGTGCGCCGCAATGCATTTGGCCTCCACCACCCCTTTTTGCATTATCACCAAGGTCGTCACTCTTGATTTATGATTGTAATGTGGCGCGGAGGTAGTGTTGCTTACCAGTACTATTGGTTATTATAACGCTCATGGTAATGACGGTGCGCGATTGATCTGCTTTCCGATCAGTGGTCTTTGGTCATCACCATCAGTTCTGATAATGGTCAAATGTGTTCTCGATAAAATCACAGAAATTTTTGCCTCATTATCATTTTTCCAGGCCACTCGCGAGGGTCATACGTCGGCTGCTTTCTGGTCTTCTAGAAATGCGATTAAGGGAAAACTATGTTGTATTTTAACCCGGCACAGACTGCATTGACCACGTATTTACACTTCGTTAGTTGCCCTGACATGCTTTTTCGTTAGAATCACCCACCATCTTCTACTTTATCTACCTAAAGCCATTGATTGGTGCACCGGGGAGATTTACGTTGCGAAATATCTTTATTGCAACTACCTCGGGTCCTCAGGGAACTTTCCTTTAGTTTACAAGGACAACTGGGATCCATCATGATTGCGCTATTAATCCTTTCCATCTTAGATTTTGATCATATCGATCAGTATTGGTTCTGCTCTGGATGTTCCCACCAACTGACCAACGGACAGTTTTGAACACACGCACGACGTAGCCGTATTCAGGTACTGCCGAATCGGCTGTCCTTCGCATCTCTAAAATAAACGTTACTGCAGCAGAAATGAGGTGCCACAGCACCAACTTTTACTGTGACAGAGCGATCGAACTTCATGATTGGTTCACTTATCTAGACCGCTTTATCATATCTCACAGCACAGCCGAATAAATTAATGCGCATCTTAGCAGTCTCCATATTATTTTCACGCCCCATATCACATGTGACGACGGTGTGGTAGTAGTGTCCTTAACAGTTTCTATGTTCCGACCGTTTGTACATCTGGTGCTTCTCTTCATTACCTCTACGTTACCCAGTTTTATCCGAATAGCATCTTTGGAGCTTGCTCCATTTAGCGATTGTTTCATCATCTAGAGAACGCGTTCCCTCTCATGTGATCGCCTGCCCAGTTTTCGGATGCGTTGTTTTATGCTGATCACATGCGGTTTCCGGCAATCCATTTCTCCCATCTGTTCTCTGACTGTGCATAACAAATCCTCGGCATGAGTTACGAAATCATAGCGTTTGCTTTCCTGTCTAGTCTCGCTATCGTTTCCTTTCAGGGCTTTTCAGCCTACAAATGCTATGCTGTCATCACGTGACTGTTTTTGCACGATCGATCCACTTAATCTCGATCCGCCTTATAACAAAACTATTTACTCTACGCTTGCAGACCACTCCTCGCAAATGTCCGCCATTCACTTCCCTATTCAGGCTACACTTTGTTTTCTGCGGGTCTTTTTCTGCGTCACTTTGTATTACCTTTCAGCTCGTCAACACTGTACCGTAAATAGCCCGGTCTCTGATAACAATTCCTCAATAGAATCACGCATTTTACTTGAGGTCTCGATGAGTTCGCATCTCACTGGCAACGATTACACATGTGTGTCCTATTTGTGTTGGCCTTACCGGTAGGCGATGTCAGTTATCCGTTAAAATTCAAAACAACAAGTTGGTAAATCGATTCTTTCTAACTATAGTATGCGCATAGTTCTGTGCATCTTTATACTTATACACGTGAGTGAGCACTTATGACGCTGCCGCTGACTCGCGGATGTCTGTCTTGAGTCCCGTCCTCATTGATCACTGCTACACGATAAGTTACAAGGATCCAACTATTTCGAAACCGCTAGTCGTGTGGACTTTGGTTTTGATGTATAGAGTGCTCATATCTCTTGCTTTCGTCTGCTTTTTAGTTTGTCTGTAATGGTTTATGCTCATTTTCATAGATTATTACCGGTTTTACTGTTCATGCGGAGACGATTGGTTTACGTTGCTGGTTGGGATAAGTACAGCCGAACTGTAGTGGGGATATTTGTCGTTGGAGCCACATGCGAAACAACCCAGTGTCTTGCTGCGCTCCGAATGAAAGCCTTTTGTTTTCCTCCATTTTAGCATATGCTCTGCAGAGACCGTCAGCCCTCAACTCGGTGTCCCTTTTTTCACGACATTTGATCAGCTTTGTTCACCAACCCCTTGCGTGTACTCGGAAGCGCGTCCCGTCAACGTCGATGTCGGCCGTTGCTCTTACGACCTATCGACGACAACAGGAGTTGACAAGCGCTGTTGCTCTTCCGACTCAAAGCTGACCAGATCTTTCACCCCACTTCCAGTCAATCCCTCTGGTCTTTTGCACTTGACGGTTGTGACACCAGAACGAATGCCCACCAGCCGCCCTGGATGCCCCTTGTGTATGATCCCTTCACTTGACCGGACGGAAGGGAATCACTTGGAAGCATTTTGGCCCCGAGCCTACTACGATTCTTCCGACAAATCATCTAGCCTTTCCAACCCTCCAACGGCTCCTGCGCCACATATATCAATGAAAAGTTTTCATCTTATTGACTCACCGTCTTTCTTGGATCTGTCCTCCGATATTGTTTACACCGAGACTGTCAGAAGTCCTGTGGTCCTTATGACCAATGTACAACAAAGCCACTTCTCTGATTATTCCATTTCCTCCCAGTACGACAACGGTTTCCCCTCTGTCGGATGTTTCGAACACTCCAACGACTCGGACACTTCTACTCTGACCAAAAAATCCCGATCAGTGCACCCCAATGAGACTCCCCCAATTTCATTGGGATCGCCGCCTCGAAAACAGCAGCGTCGTACTAGCAAAGACAAAGGTTCCAGTAGTCACATGCCAGAACACAGAAACGCCAATGAACTGCACGGAGTTGAGCATTCCCAGGCAGGTTCAATTGATAGAGTAATATCCGAATTTACGCAGCTGAATATGGAGCGAGAGATTTTGCAGTCATGTGATCCACACCTTCAGGCCTCCTTTTTTATCCAGCCTGATGACCCACGTCTCTCCTCGATAGACAGTTTGAGTGACGCTCGTTTGACTCGAAGCTCTACCAAAAAACGAGAACATACCTCCAATGTGAATCTTTCTGTTGTTCAGATCCCTTCTTCGTCCAATCCACTGATTCACGGCCACCTGCCGAGGGAGCGAAGACGGAACGCCACTTCCACGTGTATCCCGTCCTGGCGTCATGGTATGCCATTCTTCAACCGTCGCACGGGTCTTCCGTTACAGTCCTCTCCCGTAAGTGTGTGCTCACTCGGTGTTACTACATGTGGTTGCCGTTCACCTTTTGAAATTCGCGCTCCTGGTAGCTGATGTGCATAGCGGCGCTCCGATTATCTTTAGTGCTATTTTGTAACTCTCGTATTTTTGAAGTGAAAGGTTGCGGTATTGCTGAGATTCATTACCTATCCATCATAAAACCGGTAGTAATGAAAAACCATGGAGGCGAAGAAACTTAGAGTAAGTTCGAGATAAGTAAAAGGTTAACATAATGGGGAGTTAAGACTAAGAAATTAAGCGTCAAATGCAAATACTACTGATTTCGAGGCTGTGCTCTATCCCAAGGGTTTCTATCCACAGGTTGAACCTGGCTACGAGTCTGTCAACAGTGATCAGATTATTTGAGTCCTTGATGATGACGGATCGATGACTGGGGTGTTTTGCGATACCTGCTTTGTTTTCAGCGGCGATACTGATGGCAGTCTATTTTTGCGGATCCCAGTGCATGATCGTTCTAGTGCGATTCACCTTCGAGCTTCCATACTCGTTGGTACGCACCATCGGAACACTTGGTGCGTTTTTTATTGTTTCTGTGAGCCCCTAAACTACGGCAGCTTGAAGACAATCAAAGAAGTCTGTCGGTACTTTTCTTAACCGCATGGCGAAGAGGGCGGATATAGTCATCTTTACAGGTAATATTAGTTCCCATTTGGCCCTTTATCGAACTCTTAGCATCCTTTTACGGCTCGTTTTCTGGATGTTGTAAACTGTATGGCAGCTATCTATGTTTTTTTAGTCATGCACCAACCATAATCTTTATATTGGCCGCACTCCAACTAGTGCTTACTGATCATTACGATGTACTTGACCCATATCGACTATATTGCCATTAGTTTCAGGTGACGCACCGTTCATGGCTATGGGCCAATCTAGATGCAATACTTAGATTCCGGTCTTTCCGCAGTTTTCACCCGAATTGCGTTTGTCCCATGGTCGTTTGGACGAAGTAGCCGATTTCAGTTTGCTACTCGTCACTCTGGCTCAAATTCCCTGATCCAGCAATCTCCGTACAAATCGATTCCTCAGGTATGATAGATAAACGGCGTCACTGCACCGAGTGACTTATATTATAGATGAAGAGCTTTATGGACGGTTGTCCACTGATCCGGAATTTTCCAATGTGTGAATGGGTTCCGAAATGCAAATAAGTTAGCTCATGCACTTTTACTTCATCAGAAGCTTAGTTTTTGGGGTGGGGGGGGGAGGGAAGCGAATGCTTTTCCTGTGAATCTGATGTTCATATCTCAGCAACCCGTCTTTTAAGGGAACATTGCTCTACGAACGATGAACATATAACTCATTTTTAACCCGCTGGCTCATCTACGGACAACTGTGTCATTCACCTTACTCTAAGAAACTTTATATCGTTGCACAAAGGAAAACACTAGCCTTAAAGGTGTGCCATGTATGTATTGTTTACTATACCTACCATTTAAGGCGCGACATCCATTGAAGTATAAACCTGGGGACGAATGTATACTAGTACAGGGTTAGAGTACCTCCGCCAGCATTTTCAGTTAGACTAATTCTCGCACGCTGGAGAATAACGTAATGCGGATTATTGCATGCTACAGAAAACATGGATAGAGGGGAAGCTACTACAGAAGCAAAAGCATGGAACGAAATGACTAACAGGAGGGGCTGAGACCACCTCCCTTGTCTTGTACATTACAGCGAAAGGTTTGGCTGGTCGATTAGATGTTTAAGCGCCCCGAGCATCTCGGTCGCATACACTAAATCAACGCATTAAATGGCTCCAAGGATGTAAAAACCGTCATCCTGTCAACTGAATAATAACTACGACTGCGCGTTAATCTGACAGCTTAGGTTGCATGATGGGATTTTTTCACTGGATCGGTTGCGCTGAGTTGGGGGATAAAAACAAAGCATGGAACGCATACCAAATGGCTTAACCGATCACATCGTGTTTTTTCGTCTGGTGAGTGTGTTTAACAGATGTGCCGGTCAGCATCGGTTCGGCGCTGCATCTGGCTTGATCTGCAGAAGCCCTGTACCTTTGCAAATCTGCTTCTAGATGATGGAAGTTCGCGAGGTAGGTGACTACTACTACTTACTATTGCTTTCTTAGCCTTCTATTCTGGCGTTATGGAGGACAGACGTCTGGGAAAAATGCAAATGCAATATCAGTCACTGCACGTATGAGAACTCGCTGCTCTTCCTGAATCAATTCGGTTGGTATTCCGTTCTGTGGACGTGATGAGTAATAGTGAGGTTGCACTCACATTTCTAATGAGTAGGAGGCTTCTCGATGAGATTTTGCTGGCTCATCCCAGCTGCTCACAAGCCAGATTGATCAAACCACAATCCAAAAAAGCACCAGGTGATCGTTTCGTCCTATTGGTGCATATTCCCTCGGTCCCCTACTGGGGATCGAACCCATGACCGCTAGCAGCTTATGCTAACTAGCCAGCAGTTTATACCGCCGAGCCATGGGAAACGGAGGCAGACGGTCTTAACTTGCAAGCTAACTGGGATATAGCGCAATCTATCCTCTACGGCCATGCAGGTTCCTACCGTTGCAGAGGACAGTGGCATATTGCGTAATGCATCTTAGACGGTGAGAAGGCTGATAAATGAATGAATTACCTTTGCATTCGGCGGAGCCGGTAATGGCCAGCGTATTCGCACAAACCGTCATATTCGTTTGATGGCCAGTCTTCCCTTATGTCTCTGTGTCATGTATTAACGCTGAGTCTGGCTGACGCTTGTCGCCCCGTCGGATAGGATCTCTGGATAGATCACATGATTGGCTAGAAACCGTAAGTGATGTAACTTGGTTACTAAACTCCTTATTGTGACCTTCTGTTTCCCTGTCCGGTTCAGTCTGTGTTAGTTGATTGTGCCCCGAGCGAAGATCTGCGGCGGACCAATCGCTGTGACTGGTATCGCTAATTCAGTTCGGTTTGCCATCTTTGACTTAACCACCGAAACTCGGTGAATTCATTTATCACAATTGACATCGCCATGACAATGTAATGTACCAGGTTGAAGAAAACGTAATTAAAATTTGCATATAAAAACCCGACGAAAACAATGTATGATATGCTAGTCGCGTGAGATAGCAGCAAAAACATTGGACTTTAAAAGAAACGCTACCGACTTCGCAACTGGACTGTTGTAGATTAGTTACTTAATCTCTGATGTGGATCACCGCGGCTAAGCTTCGATCATTTTCTTCATTCCTTTTACTGAATCATCAGTTAACTACACTGAAGTTTAGTTTACCTTAATAATTCCATTCTTCTATGCACCTGATCGTTTCATAAACGAGACACTGTGTATCTCTCCTCCTCTTCCACAGGTCCCTCTGAAGCGGAGCACGAGCGGCCGGTTTGATTTCGATTCCTCTCTCTGTCCCCTCAAATCATCGAAGAGGTGAGCCACCATTATCTAGCGCCTCTGCGTTACATAATCGTGAGTCATGCATCTTCTTTGACCTCAATTTATTGCTCGACAACCTATGTACCATTCTGTTACATTTATGTATCATTGAGTCATATACACCCCGTAATAAAACGAGTGACATGCTCAACCTTTCCTGTCATTTGGAGTTTGTACCAGTCGAAATCGCAAACATCTGGGATTACGTATCAAATACCTGGTTGAACTCCCGAATTGGTGTTGTGGAGGCACACACTGTCGAACTTTTGTTAGTGTGTCAGTGCTAACTGTCAGTTACATTGATTCTCTCTTTGGGCACGAATTCCCTCTAGATCCCGGTGCAAACCAGTAGACGAAGGAATCTGGGGCGAAAATCGTTGGCCACGCATTTTGCTCCGATTCTCCGTTTACGTCTGTACGACACAGAGCTGATTTCTTTTTACTGACACGTCGCTTCATATGTCTAGTTCCTTACTCCCACACATCTTTTAACATAATATTACTCATATCTTCATTCTGTTTATTTTTTTCGCTCACTCAGGTTTGTACTGAGACAGTGCATCCATGAACGGTTAATGTGTGTATTATTGTTCACGGTCAAAGCCACATCGGCTGCACCACTTGTCGCGGACGTGACGACTTCATGTCACAAGTCTGTAGAATACAGGTGCTCTAATGTGAATTTTCGAGTAGGCAATACGGCTGCTTGTTAGTTGGCGCTTACAGTGCCATACTTCTGGAGGGGTCTGGTAATCGGGGCCTTTACTCATGCTTATTGAATCTCGATTGTGCCGTATTTTTCGCTCGTTTATCCAAAATATCATCACTCATTGATTCTTATTTCATGTGTGCTAGGCAGAATTCCACCCGTTCGCTTGTTTTATCTATTCTGCAGTCGTCTTAATTTGGGTGTGAAAGATTTATTTCCATGATTCATGACCAGCATGTGTCGGAACTACACAACTACAACGGTGTCAGAAATGGATGGTTTAGATCTAAACCCATTATGTGCTTTCCCATGCGGAGAATCTTTAATTATTCGGCTGTTAAATCGATGTTGAAAATCCCGTCATTCTTAGCTTCATTTTATGGATTAAACGGGTTGACTTATGAACAACAGAAGTGCGCCACATCGGCGATGCAGTTTGTCCGTAGCTTCTCACTCTTCTGCATTTGTGGTCTGCTCGTGGAGATAAGAACCTCATTTACGCTTCCAATGATGTCATCATATCGTATTTATGCCTCCGATTACCTTAGTGGGCGATTGCATCAGACCCTGAGTAGTGCATACACTCCTCATTGTCTGTCGTATTAGTGTAGTTCTCTCAAAAATTCGGCGCGATCATTTGCACTGTCCGCTCGAAGCCTCACTTATTCCCGTTGATTTTTTTTATCTATCTAAAGTCCAGAAACATCACAGCTTCCGCACTCCCAGTGCTGTTAGTCTCTAAAAAGCTGCAAATGATTGCTTACCACCTGGGAAAATGTCAACTCGCCATAACCTACCTAGAGGCCGAAATACGTTAAGTGTCGAAGTCCAGTCCCAATCCAAGAAACTGGCACTACAGTATGCAGGTACTTACACCCGATCTTTTACGCTACCTTACTAGCCAATAGCTCATTTTTTCAATGAAAGCATAGCGAACACGAAGCTCCTTTCGTAAATCTGAGTGTGCATCCGACAGTTTCCTAAAACACTTTAACGTTAGATATTGGGTGCTGCCCGCCAGAAAACGCCGTACCCCACTACCGGTTTCCACCTTGTTTAATATCGAGATAACAGGCATCGAACCCGGGACTGTTGAACTATCGGCCGAAACCTCTACCACTTTGGCTACCGAGTCACGACGGTTAATGACTGATTGGAGGGCCATTTTGAAGTGCACGTTGTGTGCTTGGATTACGACGCTCTATTCCATTTGGTGGACCCTTGCCAGTTCTACTTCCTCACTTACGGTCCCAGTGATCGAATTGTCCAAAGTTCACTTCAATAAAAGTCGCGGTCCACAACGAGGCTGCTCGTTGGCTCAAAATGACCCTATATTCACCTTAAAACTACCTCCCATATACCGCTTATGTTCGAACAAGTCAATCAACTAGGCAGCTCGTTTGACTTTCTCCAAAACCAACACCGTGCTTGACTCACAACTCGGCCTGTTCACTGGGCCCGTGTAATCGTGGTCAACTTGAGATAACTGCGTTGACTGGCTTTCCAGCCGACTGGCCATGCTTCGATTTCTCTCGCGTAAACTGCCAGCTACCATCGCACACTACACGATCGACTGTATATTGGTTCGCACTTGTCAGGTAAAGAGGATAACAACCGGTTGACGTCTTTACCCCTACGCCATTGAGTCGCCGATACTGCTTATTCACAACGCCGAATGTCCCATTGTAGGTTCATATCAACACACCTGTGATGTGAATGGTTTGTGACACACCGTCTCAGCCCTAACCACGATCTTCTGTTGAAGGGCATCTCAATCGTTTCGTACAGCTGGACTGTACTTGATGCAGCTACATGTTTGGCGTTGCCCACTCGCAGTCCAGATTGAGCTTACGTGTCCCAGTCGGTTCACCCAATGAATGGTTCAAATTTGCGCACAATGAATCAAACAATCGCTTCGTACTGTTTTTTTCCATGCACATAGTACCCAAACAGAAATCGGTTCGACTACAACCCGGTGAATCCTAATCACTGAACGGACAATGAAAAAGACGACTTCCTAACAGGTTCACCACACATACGCGCTCGACAAAGGTGAGCGCGCGAATGGTAGAGAGAGAGCAGCGACCCTTGACGATAGCGCTTGTATTGACTCAGTTAGAGGTGAACACATGGTCGTACTCTCCCGAATCGATAGTGCACTTAATTTTTCGCGTTAGGCGTGAGTTTGCACTGACGAGCATGAACACTGTACCGTGCCTTGTTTTCGTGTGGACATCGCGCTTGCTTATTTTGCTGAAAGCACGTGACGCGTCACATCACCCGCGCTTAGTTTCGACGAAACACATGACATTCCCTTGATGATTATACCGTAAATGCATACTGTAACTTTGTTAATTCCTCCATTTTCTACCTTAACCATACCCCAAATTCTTTCGATCTTTCTTCGGTTTTACCGTCGTTGATCCCGCAACTGATTTCCTTATATGTTCCCCTTTCCGCACCTGATCATGTTTAATCGTCAACCAGTCGTTTGCCCAATCGTCATCAGCTTTTTATATTGATACTTGTTTGATTCAGCAATCCGACTTTTCTCTTGTCTGTCCATTTTTCACTCCTGTTTCTTTGTATCTCACTTCGGACGGTTTTCGCTCATTATCTGCATTACCGTCTTTAGCTATTCATGGAGTACATTTTCCGTGCCTCGACCGATTCTGTTTTCGTCTGGTCTGTAGATCCATTTGTTTCTGTGTTGCTTCATCCAGCACTATGAGAGGATTCCATTCGCACCGCGCTCTCTTGGTCTGATCACGCATTGACTTTAACACAAGTTCAAGTCTAGTCAAAATAGACTGCACAAGTTCGATTAGTTGTGTTTTCAGCATATACTCTGCCGCTACGAATATACTGAAACGAAATCAACTAAGTACGAAATAATGTTATTGTTATTGAGTAAAATGTATTATTTGTTCCAAAAATTAAGAAGGCCACTTTGTTGTCTCTTCGTTTCTTAAGCTTTATTTTCTCTGTAACCCCTATCCTGTGCTAGAGCCATCCCGTATTTACCTCCTTACATTAGGTCATTCAGTTACCTGCTTTTTGCTACGCTCGCCCGTTATATACTGAGTATTTACCACAAACGATCGAACTCCTTGGGAATTCCGTGTTGTGTGGAATGTTCCGCCGGAAACCTGCTACTACCTGTGCTTATTACTCTGTTCACCCACCGCTTACTCTTAAATTTTCGCCAAATTGGTCAAGACTACTGCTCTTGTCCTGTCCTTGTCCTATGCTTTTGTCCTATATCATATGCTTCATTTGTAGCACATCTCTCCTATTTGTAGCTCAGCTTGCATGGTCCACAACTGTGGTCCTTCCTATGCCTTGGAGCCTAGTCTTCGCCACTCCGACCTCCCTCTACGATGTTCACACCAGCAGTGCTCAACTACCTCTACATCCCTCTCATCCCAACCGACAACTCCATGCGTGCAACTAAGGAGGCGTCCGGCTAGTCTACGTTTGAATCTTTCCAGCACAGAGGGCGCCGGTGATCGTTCGTTGAGACGCCGTAACTGTGCTCCCGAGGTAGATCAGGCGGAGATAAGCTGCAGCGCACCTCCTTCGGGCAACAGGAAAAGCGCCTACTCTGTGAGCCATCGCACCCGATTGGCCAACACCCTGGCTTGCACTCCAGCTTCGCATTGCAGTTCGCAGCATTTACTAGTCAATTTCGAAGTACGTGCATACACACACTTTTACTTAACCCATCTTCCTAACCATATTCATGGGTAGTTTATTCGTTTACCTTACACGTACGCGGGGTCCTTCGAATTTGGCCGCACTCTACATACTTTTTCTACGGAATTATTAACGCACACACGTGGTTTTATTAAGTGATCGTTTTTTCATTATTTATTCGTCTTGCAATTGTTACCATGTTAACCTACACTCGTGACATTTTGAAATCGCTGTGTTTCTGCGTTTACAAACTGTTTTTTCAACAACCATGTTATAAGAAATGGACTGAACATAACTTAAAATTACTGCAGTATTTGTCCAAGAGAACATCACGCTGGGTGGAAAGATGTTCTTCGGTAGAAAAATTAGGAAGCTTGAGCATACACACCTTTACTTATCTCAAACATCCGTTCCCTTCTGGGGCACCATCATCATCATTATACACCTTAGCTTGAGGTAGGAAAAACCTCAGCTACTGTGCCGCAATACATAACGAAAAAAGGAAAAATATGCAACTGATTCAAACCAGGTGAGCTACCGGTAAGCTACCAACCGGCTACTATGCAGCCAAAACAACTTAATATGCAAAGTTATATTACAGAGAACTAGTAGGGGGAGTTGAATGGTATAGGTAGAAAATCGTCACATCTAGACTCACTCAGACAGCCTTCACACGCCCGGAAAAGCACTGTACGCGCGTTTCATCCTTTCGGTAATCGTCAGCAGTGCGCATTCCATCGGACCCTGGTTGGAGTGGGTGGCTTAGAGAGATGGGGTGGGACAAAGAAACTCACAGCACGAACGCCACTGAGGTCGGCTCCTAGCCATATCAGCTTGTGTATCCAGGCAAACGTGTTCACCGTGTTTTGGACCCCAACCAAGGAGCCGAAACGCTCTAACCGAGGCCAGCTTTGAAGTGAGGACCTTCATTCTTCTCGACCAAGTCATCGCTTGGCCACCCTTTTTCCTCTTCCATCCACACCCCCGGCGCGCAAACAACGTACGTCGCGGGAGTCGGTGTGCTGGCATGCGTAACACCTGGCGGAGCCATCAGAGCCTGGTGCGTGAAATAACGGTGCTGAGCGGTTCTTTTCTTGTGCCGTACACAAGGCGTCGAACGCTCGTGGCTCACTCGGTGTCCACACCAGATGTGAGCCAAACTGCGAAGGCACCGGCGGTTGAAGGTAACTAGCCTCTTTAGGTCGGCTGATATAAGGAGCCAAGTTTCACAACCGCACAGTAGGGCCGAAAGTGCTGCTGCGTTGTACGCTCTACACTTCAGGGCGAGAGTGATGTCCCGCCGGTGCCATAAGTGGTGAAGGTTAGCAAAAGCATCTCGAGCTTTTGCTGTGCGGTTCGTGATCTCATCTACAATCCCACGGGCGCTGATACAACTTCTCAGGTGGTTAAATTTCGGAACGACTTCTAGCTGATCCCTACCAGGAATCAGCGCAGATCCAAACCAATCTTGTGGGTGTGTTTTGCACTTCGAGAGTGCGAAGCAAACCCCGAAGTGTCTGACAGCCTGTACCAATCTATCCAGAGCCACTTGTCACGTTTGTGAGCTGTCACAGATTACGGCAATATCGTTAGCATACTCCAAGTCAAAAAGTCGTTCTCCTGGGAGCAGATCCACGCCTTCTAAGTCGTGTCGTCTAAATGCAATCTCCATGACTTCGTCAATAGCGAAGTTGAAGACTAAAGGTGAAGGCAGGCATTCTTGTATCACACCGCTGGATATATTGAAGAGCGGCGACAGCTCGTCGTAAGCCCTCACTCTGCCCGAGCTACGCGCGTATAATACTCGGATAATATTTACATATCTCTCGGGCACACCATAGCAGGCTGTCCAAAAGGGCACATCTATCCACCGAATCGAATGCACCATTGATACCGAGGAACACGACAATGGTGGGCCGCCAATATATGTGACGGTGCTCTAACAACTGACGCAAAGTGAAGATGTGGTCAATGCAGCCACGACCTCGACGAAACCCAGCTTGCTCTTCACGAATCTGGCTCTCACGATCGCTATCCAGTCTATGAAGGACTACAGAGGCAATTAATTTAGAGGCGATGGAGATCAGAGTGATTTCTTTATGGTTGCTGCATTCCGATCGTGAGCCTCCCTTGAAAATTGGGACTATGACGGTTGGGACAGTTTCCTGCTCCCACAGTTTCGCTATTAACTCGTGTAAATCATCCACAAAAGCAGGGCCTCCGAATTTGAAGTGGGCTGGAGGTAGATCATTTGGTCTCGCAGCTTTATTTAACTTCAACAGTCCGATCTCACGTTCGACTTCTGAACGAGAGGGCGGATCCAAAGGGACAGCTCAGAAGGCAGAGTGATCAGTGGCCAGCGAGAAATCGGATTCCGAGTGATTAAATTGCCTCTCAAAGTGCTCAGCCCAACCCTCCAAGCGTTTTGATAAGTTGTGGATAGGCTGTCCACTCTCGTCACGTATAGTTTCACTAACACCAGTTCTCCTGCTTCCCGTTTCCCGTATCAGACGGAATAAGTCACGATGGTTGCCAAGGGCAGCGACCATTTCCATCTCTGATGCACGATGAAACCACCGAGATTCGCGGTCTCTCTTCAGGTTAGAACGGAGTTTTGCCTGGAGGTTTTTGTGAGTCTCATTGTGTTCGCTTCCAGCCGGATTGTGCCGGCGAGCATCGATAAGTTACAGCGACTGCAAAGAGACCCAATGTCCATGTTGGCAATCATACTTACCACATAAGGATTTGCCTGCTGCTAGTAAATTGATGAAGGTGTGACCAGTAAGCGCTTACTCAATTCGCGTGTCAGCGTACTATGATATGCACTCAGAACAGCTGGCTTCGTCAACTGGCTGGTGTCGTCATGGGCATCCGCCAAAATGCATCCGCAGGTCAGCACACACAAGTGAATGCTCGGTGTCCACACATGTGTTCCAAATCGAGGGACATTTCTGAACGCAGCCTCTCCATCGGTAAGTTATCGCAATGTGATCGATTTGTGCCCATTGCCGGTTCGAGGCTGATGGGCGCCAAATCACCCTCCGGCGAGTGCTGCGTCGTAAATTAGTGCTCGCAAGAAATAAGCGAGCATCCTCACACAAATGAAGTAACCGCTCACCGTTATCATTACCGGAACCTACGCCGTGTTGGTCGCCCAGGTGCAGTTCATTAGTGGATAATTTTCCAACTTGAGCGTTCCGATCTCCAGCACTGCGCCGTGCTTCTTCTGTGGCGAAGGAACTCGTTCAGTTGACGATAAAAGGTGTCTTTTACCGAATCATCGCTAGTGTTTGTGGACACAGACAGCGTTGACGAATAGATACCTGTTAGCCCCGCGCAACTTCGAAGCTTTAAACGAGCCAGCCAATCGGACCGCACACATCCGGCTACTGATTGGGATCCAATCAACCATATCAGCTTCAGACCTGGGACTCAAGGTAATACCAACACCGGCTTGGCCGGTGTTTGAAGCCGCATCATCACCGGATAGGCACCATGAAAACGTGCTGCTGGCGTCACCTGAAGAGGATCGCAAAGTGAGCACTGAGCTCGAGTCTTGCAGGCGGGCCTCCGATAAGCAGCAGATATCGATCGAGAGGGTCTCTAATGTTTGGGCAAGTGCTGTCTGTTGACCGATCTGTAACATACATTGACGCATGCCAATCTGAAGGAGGATCGAGAGCTCTAGATGCAAGCCGATGAACTAAGCTTGACCGCTTGCTTGGACATGGGGTTTTCGACAGACCAGGAATAACGCTTTGCTTTAACGTGAGTTGAAACTAGAAGGTAAACGCCTATCAAAGCAAAGTGGGGTGGGCCAAGAATTAGACGGTTGAAAACAGGGGGGATAAAGTTGAAGCTGGAACGGGACGATAAGGGTGAAAAAGTTTAAGTGGGGGAATAAGAAAATAGGAAAGCTTGAGCAGTAGTATCCAAACCCGTTCATCCTGTTCGATGCAGCAGATAGGGCAGCGTTAATTATCCTCTGCGGTGGCCAGCTCATCAGGAAATTGTTACAGGTAAGATTCATAGTATTGCTTGGGCAGGATACTGTCAGGTTGCCCAGGCCTAGACAGGAGGACGATTAGGGTTCTCAACCAAAGCCTTTGGTTCAAAAACCTGACCGCAAGACAGCTGGTTTGGCGATGAACTACAAAGAGTCCGCTTTAAGTTATAAGGAGCCGCCCTCACTGCAACCCCAAGCTGGATGACTAGGGAGCTGAGTTTATCTGGCCTCCAACCATTGACCAATCTGGTATCCATTCTGGAACAGTTAATGAATTAACCACTACCATCAACTTCCGAGAGCATTCACAGCTGGCATAATTTTGTTGCGAGAGATCTGGCTTCATGAGGAGGGTGATGACACATTTGTATCGGCAGAAGGGTTCAATTACCATCGGATCAACCGTCCCTGCACTTACCGAATCCGTGGAGATGGAGTCATCGTTTACCCAAATTCTTCCTGGTGCATACCAACGAACCTCACATTTTGTTTCTGTTCACAAAGCACTAACTGCTTAGTCTTGTGGTACAAGCCAAGATGTATGAGTGGGTACCGTTCAATTCTACTGGTCAACATATAGGTTTCTTCACATGTCCCAAACTGGAAACAGACTCATTTTACCACGAGTTTACTGTGGTTGCCATGCAACACATCTCTTATGCCTCATGTACTTTTTGCTGGGGATTTTTACCCAGGGGCATGGCGAAAAGCTGACTTCAGTGGCGTTTGTGTTGCAGTTTTCTTTGTTCCCCTCCTCCAACTACGTTGTATCCTATAATGTGTAGTATATCGCTTTTCATGTATAACGTATCTTTATATTGCGCCGCAATACTTGAAGTGTGTTTCTCACCACCTAATGTGTATTGTTTATGCTTATGATGCTTGCCGAACAACCTCCCCGTGGTACCAGCTGGCCGGTTCTGGTGTTCCTCGTTCTGGCTAATGGCTCGGCGGCAGTGTTCTAGGATGTGATGTGTCTAAGCTTGGCAAGCGTCCTCCCTATAAAAAGCTATAAATGTCTGCTTAACAACACTGTGATGTGGCGGATGTGGCGCCACTACATAAAGTTACTGCCCCTTGTTTTCCTCCGGGGGATTGTACATCGGATGCAATCCGGGCATCGGATTCTGCCTTTGACTTCGGAAGTGTTTGACCCCTCCTATACCTTTTCGTCATCCGAACGGCGTATAAACTAAATGCTTACTCACGGGATCCCAGCGGGTGCGAAACCCTTATTTCGCCCTGCTGCCTTGTATGTTTGGCCCTACGGCCAAAGCCGCAGGGCCGTAGTCTCCTAAGGCAACCCATCTATTTCGGCCTGGACAGCCGGCTAGCATCTCGCCTATTGATTAACAATGGGACCACACAACCGCTCATTCTCTTTCGCTCTCATGATCCACTGTCCTGCTACTACATAAACTTTATAAGCACACACCACCAGTTTCCCTACTCTTTCCTTATATCACTCATCCCCATTGTTACTTGGTTTTTTCAACTGTGAACATCCTCACCTCCGCCGATAAAGTTGTTTTTTCGTCACCCGTCAGCTCAACCACACACTTCTCTACAGGGAGCTGCCAGCCCCAAAGTCGGCCATCTTCGCTACTGCAACCTGGAGTGCACTGCGAACTAGCAACCCTCAGCGTGCCCACATCAGTGCGGATCGGACAGTGAGCTAGACTTATATACACGCTGGAGACCTTTGCAGTTGATGTCTGCTGCGTGAGTGAAGCCCGAATCCAGGATTCCAACACAGTCTACTAGCTGTCTTCATCAGTCCAACCACACACCGGCTTTTATCTTCGCCTTCCTGTTGACGCTGAGTCCGCCGCTTTTGGGCAAGCTGGTGTTGGAATCACCGTCAGTGCAAGAGCCGAGGCCACTCTCCTTGATCAAATTCCGGTCAAAAGTCGCGTATGCGCAACCACAAGTTGGATTTCGGTAAGATCCTCGGAACTACTAGATCGACGACGGGCTGTGTCCGCCGGTGCGGAGCACAGTGAACTCCGTCGGTCTGTATCTCTGACCGTGAATCCTATTGGTCAAAACGAGCTGCTGAGATGGAAGCTGCTGCATCGGCTGCAAACTTTCGCAGTTTGTTTTATCTCTCCAGGACAACTGGTTGCAATTCACACCAGCCTGCACAGGCACTTGAGTAGCTTGGCAGAGCACTGCTTTCTAATTTCACTGCTAAGCACTACCAACTGTGATAATTCCGTTTCCTTCGGTTAACGCTTGGCCTATCGCCACAGGTCATCCTACTGAAACAGAGATCTGAAGCGCAATCCAATCTTTGGAGCGCCATAAAGTTCCTGGTCCTGACAGCTTACTCCCGGCTCTGTTCAAAGGTCGCAGAAAAGCAATTGTCAGCGAGATCTTATCACTGTTCAACAGGATTTGAATTGGCGATAAAGCCCTAATGGGATAAAAATAAATACTAACTACATCGTCACCTGTACGCCGTAACGGTGCTTCGCTGGCTCGCGACTACCACTAGTCGCGCGTGGGCTGAGTATACCGCGAGAAAGCCCGCCCCTACGCGGATTCGAACCGGTGACCTTATGAATGTAAGCCAGGCGTGTAGGCCAAACGACCACCGCTCAGCAAAGTCCCAATTGCATGGGGATAATAGATCATTGTCTCGGTCCATGAGACTCCCGCGAGGATTGCCCCAATTACCGCGTGATTTCGTTGATCTCTATTGCGTCCGAGAGTTTCGTGTCTGTTCTACTCCACAGGCTTTCAGCGACTAGCGTGAGCGTTTCCCGAGAGGAACAATCGGGTTTTCGTCCAATCTGAGGTTGCATTGACCAAATCTTCACACTCCGCCAACTTCCTGAACTCCGTCACGTCCACGGACGGAAAACCACCGTAGTGTTCTTAGACGTCCGGGCGGCATTTGACTCAGTAGATAGATCTGCGGTATGGAACCGTCTAGTAAGGAAAGGTATGCCAGACAAGTTTGTGACCATTCTGAAGGAACTCTACAGTCACACGTCCGGCAGTGTCATAGTTTACGGATCGTTTTCCACTTGTTTACTATCACCGGCGGCGTGCGCCAAAATTGTCCCATTTCTCCTTTCCTCTTCAATTTTGTCACTGAATATGTTCAACGGGCATTGAAAGGCCCTAAAAACTGCGGTATTAAGCTTCTTCCAGGAGACGGAGTCGCGGACTTGGACTACGCCAATGATAATGCTTTGCTTGAGGACGATCCATAAGTCGTCCAGAGCGCTTTGAACCGCTTAGCGATGGAGGCGTCTAAGTGTGGCCTGTGTTTCAGCCCTGACAGATGTAAAATACTATTCCAGGATTGCCAGATACCCGTGCCTGCCCTCACCATTGCTGGTGACGTCCTGGAACAAGCTCACTGTTTCACTTAGCTAGGGAGTCGTGTCACAGCTGGCGGCGGTGTTGGAGATGAGGTCTCATAACGGATCGCAAAAGCTTGCCTTGCATTCATCAAACTGAAATACTTATGGCGGTGTCGCGTCGTCTCTCAACCTCAATGGCTGGGTATACATTGCCTCTGTCCGTGCTATCCTCTTTTGCGGCTGTGAGACCTGACCAACTCACTCGGAAGACATAAAAGTTTGTCAGTTTTTGACAATCGTTATCTGCGTAGGATTGCTCGCGGGTGGTGGCAGCATCACGTGAGCAACACAGAAGTCCGAGAGCGAGTGTTTGGTGCAAATAGCCCATGCCTCCAAACCGTTATTCACTAGCACCGCATGCGTTGGCTCAGCCACCTATTGCGCATGTCAGCGTATCGCCTTCACCATGGAGTGTTATTTGCCCAACCTGGAAGCGTTTGGAAAATGTGCCGCGGTGGACAACCAATGACGTGGAGAAGGAGCATGCAGAAGGCAACCTCAAGCTCAGCATCCGTCGGGCCGGTCTGCCTACCAGGATGGGAACCAGGTAACTCGGACTGCCAGTGGTTAGAAACGTTGGAGGTGATGGCGTGCAACAGACATTAGTGGTGACAGTGTTCAACCACATTATCTCTTAGTTAGTCTAATCTAATATAAAAACTCCAAAAGAAAAAACTCAGAACGGCTTACGTAAAACCCTAAGAGTTTGTTTTCTTCTCATGTTGCACTTTGTTTCCCCCTTTTTTTCCTCATGCTTAGAATGGCACATTGTCTGTAGCCAGACTGTGATTATGTATGTATATATATATATATATATATATATATATAATGTGTAATAATGGTGTTGATACTCTGCGTTACTTACACAGTTCAATTTAACCTGCGTTTGCTCAACCCACTAGAGTTTCTCCAGTAACACCATCGTGATGCATCTCATTTGCTCCATTCTTTTCTGAATCCTTCGAGTTTCTGAAGCTGTCTCCTATGTCTATGACGTCAGACATAAACCAACACTATACACATTTCCTGTGCCTTTTCTCTCTACAGGAGAGTATGTTAAACGGCCGTATACATCCATCGGGGCAAGTGGAAGGCTTCACTTTGGAGTTGGGGGCCAGCGGATCATTTTTCCCCACACATGAGCGAATTCCGTTGAAGACGTATTTCTTCGATTTGTCCGACGACAATAAGCCCTCGCCATACCTTGCTTACGCTGATTTGTGCCATTTACGCAGTGGCAAAGGGTACCATCTTCCGTCAAAGGGTTCGGTGCAAGTGAGCGCATTTTACACTAAATTCTTATCGAATCCTGTGTATTCTGATCTAAGCACACCCATTACTATGCCTTTTCTATTCCTTCTCTGCTCGTGCATCGCTTTCCTCCCTGATTAACACGACGTCAACTGAACGAACCAAACCCAGTCCAAGTGTTGTGATAAATCTTCAGTGCTAATCATGTTCCCTTTCTTGCTGACCATCTGGTTTTCACAAACTAGTTTATCTCACTTTTGCTATGTGTTACTCTGTCGCTGGGCCCCGCTGTTTGATTATTTGAGCTCACTCCCCGTTGGTTATGATATTATTCTCACTGCTGCCTGTTCCTCCTCCATACTGAGGATCAGTTACTCATGTATTCATAACACTGTCTCAGTTACCATATACAAACAAAGCGCCTGCGTCCACCTGCTGATCATCCTCCCTTTGGTTAGTTTGTGGCGCGCATTCACTAGGGAACCGGGTATTAACGTGACGCGATCGTTTGTGTATCGCAGTAATCCACTGAACTACACTGAGTTACACCTTCCATGTGCATCCTTGGCTACCAACCCAAGTAAAAAAATGGCTAAACTTACTTCGAATTCAATGTTAACGTCTTCCTTGTCGTAGGTTGAATAAAGGTTCATACTTCTCCCACTCCAAACTCAGCCATCGGAAAACAACATTTAGAGCGCATGAGCTCCACTTTATGTGCACTATGGGTTGCCTCTGACGATGCGTGAACACCAATCTTGTTTACTGGTTTCCTTCTGCTTTCCTGAATTGGAATAACCCACGGTCCTTTTCTTGTGAACCAGCTCTCGCAGGTATGCCCTTTACCATGGTCGAAAAAGATGTATGAACTGTTCTGAATCTTACAAGGCTACGTGTTTCAGGTCTGTAACAGTGCTCAGTAGAACTCGATACTCACGGTGCTATACTGACACGGTTTCCTGCTGTGGTGCTGGTCAGATTCTTGATTTAAAGGCTGGAAGTTTATACCCTCTTGAACAGAAACCTCTCCGGGTATTGAGAACTGCCGTTTGCGCTCTTTCTTTTTACTGGTTGCCATCCTTTCAAGCTCCTTCTTCCCTGCTTAACAGCTTATCACACACTGCGCTCATTGCTGGCAATGCCTCCTGACAAAGGATGTTTTCACACTGATTCCCTTATTTTCCCAATTCAAGTCAACAAATCGGTCCACTCCCTTTCTTCACCTTTTTGACATCGATCTGCGCTGTCTGCGAGACACCTATACGCAATTTCGGTTACCTCTTCAAACACCTACCCTGCGCTTGATGATATATCGATCACAGTTGCATGTCGAATACTTCTACCTACACCTGATGCGTTCCGGTGTTCGTTTGCCCACAATTAACGCGCACTGTTTTGTTTGGCTTTAGGAAACGATTGTCAGTAAGGTAATTTTAATCTATCCGAAAAGCCTTATCTGTTGGATATCTTTTAGTGTTCACCAGACTTTTTGATCGGAAATTGAAGGCCACCTCGGTTCCACCACCTAGGATAGGACTGGGCACTCATTTAATGTTTCCATACAAGTTCGATTTCGGTCACGGAATAGTGGGAACTTCCGCAAATCTGGCCGGACTGATAACGTTGTTTCCGAATGACTCGCTTCATTTTTGGCTTATGTTGCAACCACGTATGCAGCGGTTACTAATGCAGTAGACGTTTTGAAGCCAATACAAACCTGGTAAACTTTATCTGTCGGACTCGGTCACAACACAACGGCTTCCTGATTTTATGCTACAGCACTAATCCGCCTATGCTTATCAACAGATTGGCAGAAACTGCTTCGACTTCTTTCTGCATTTCGGTCTTCTTTGATTGGCGTTACAGTGACTGGCTTGTTTTGGACTCCAATCGTATGTCGTTCCTACGTTCATCGTCTTCACGTTTTAGAGTAACGACCGTCTATTGATCTGGATGTCGCCTATTTCACTCCTGCTTCGGACGTACTCAGGAGCGGTGTGTAGTGGTGCTTTCTTGTAGTGCACAGCGTATTTGGGGAACATTTGTTGTAACATTGATCCAAGGCGTGAACAACGTGGTTTTGTGTTTAGACTAATCCTCCAGAATCGAGGTGTGTGTGACGACGCAATTTCCATCGCGAATTCAGTCGTTAGGTGACAGAGGATGCAGTGATGGGTGAACCGCTTTCCTTGCACCTCGTCCCCACGGTCGTGTCGTGAGCGCATGGACTGCACACTGATTTTGTTTGGTGTTTTCTAGATGACTCATGCAGATGTCAACTAAGACTAGCTCACTTAAGTCTCGCTGGTCACGCAGTCAGTGTTACTGCACTAGGTCCCTGTTGTAACTTAGACCTCTCCTTACGCTTACCTTTGAGTGGTCACATGAGTTCACGCAAATCAGGTCAAAGAACACTCCTAGTATATTGTTGCACACCATGCTAAACAAGTGAAGCGTGAACCATGAGTGGAGCAGCTACAACGATCTAATGCAATGTGTTCGAGAAGCTACTGCTACTCAAGCGCACTAACAGACCGGCTGCTACAAACTTGATTGGGATAAACACTTTCAGCTTAGAAAATGTTCCGACGGTTCTGGTTATTAGCCCGTGGTCCCCTAATGCCATGGCAGTAGGGCTAGCCGTGGGGGTACTGGCTGTCGCGCACTTCGTAGTTAGAGCGTGCCTTGTGAGCCGTTAAAATTATCGGGAAACCAATTTTTACCAACGCCCCTGCTCTTAATATATTCGTAGTGCTAGATTCAACGAATTCTGTTGACTGACATGCGAGTATGAACCCCCAGAGTGTTTTCGGAGTATGCTTGACAGATGCACGCATAGTTCCGGTCACGGCATCTTTGCCTACGTTGCAGAATATCTAATACAAGTATATAAATATTTTATTCTCGAACGCTTCGAGGCACGCCTTTTCAGGCATGGTATATATAAACACCGAAACCTGGACTGACTACCTAACCAAGCGCAACGATTGTGTCAAACTTGTTCGTGAAGAAAAATTGAATCACTAACTGGAGTTGTGCTCCAATCGTAACCTACTTTAAAGGCATCTTAACAAACTCCGCAAGGTACAACTAGGCATCCCACTTCTAAACATCGCATGCGAGCACACACTAACTGCGCAAGAAGCAGGCACTACTCCTAGACATCAATTTGCTTGTATTTTTCAGGACCCAGTACCATCTCATGCAGTTTTCACGTAAATCCCGTCGCATCCTCGGATGTGCTGAAGCGTCTGTTGTCACTACGCGAGTACAGTTCACCTGGTCCGGATAACACCATCGCGACAAGACTGAGCAGATTTCAAGCAAGAGGTACGAAAGTTTATGTGCCTGGATAACATAAGACGCCTTTTCAACATCTGTGATTCTGATGACAACCTTTTTGAGACCGGCCCCGATGGGGCATAGATCACATTTTGGTCTGCTCTGGCGCAACTTTTTACTGCGCTCAACTAGGCTTCATGACAGGAGCATCTTGGGCTCACAGGTCTTCCCCATACTTTGCGGTCCATGTCACACCACGTGAGAGATCTCGGCCGGATCAGTTGCATGCATCTTACAGATGTTTGGACTGCTAATCCGACCACAAAAGGTATTCAGCCTATCCTAGTAGTAGCTAAGCGCTTTACTGGCTCCCACCGACACTTAGTTAAATAGGAAGTCTTAAAATAGTAGACACTACCGCAAAGGCAACCTGGAAACACTAACCGGTAGCTCAAATCCTTTGAAAGCTCCTCCTCTACGTCCAGTTTCTTACTGCTCAACAGATCAGCACGTAAAGCAGCTTTGTACTATTGAATGGGAGCATCGTAAGCCTGTAGACACGGACCAGGTAGGATATTGCATAGCAATGGGGAAGCAATCCGAACGGACAAACTTTACTTCACTTCTTCCTTCTCTTCTACACTTTGGTTCCTTCGTCTCCATCTTTACCCCTTAGTATTTTCCAAATACCTAGTCCACTTGGTCTCCTGCGAATACTTATACTTGTGACCCATGAGTCACGTCTACTAAAAGCATTTTAACAACATTAAGCCTCATGTGAAATGCCAGGTTCTAGCGTTGTTGTCCACACATATAGTGCACCCGTAAGTTACCATTTATCTGTCTAAAATAGTCGTATAAATTGCCTGCTTTATAGGCATTTCTACTAGCCGACGTAATCGGCATCTACTGGTTGCCCATAACCGATGCCCTCCCCTAGGTTTAAGTACTCGCTACTTTACACCGCTGATTATATAACAGGGCCACTTACCCACCTCGAAGGCAATATCACCATAACCTATATTCAGGTATTTACTCTTCACTTATGCTTTCTTGGTCCGTACATTTAGTTTTATCTGAGTTATACGTATGCCTATCACTATCGGAAACGCTGGTGGACAGGCATTATAAAAAACCAGATCCTTCTCTTCAATCCTTTATGCTTGCACAACAATTTTTTCGGATTCCCTTTCTCTGGCAAGAAGCTAACCATGCGGAAGTGAGGCCCCTGTCACCTAGAAAGCTAGACACACAGATATTTTGACCACCACTTCTTCTTTCCTTGGCCGTTCCTACGTAATTTTAACCCTTACCTGGCTCCAAAGCCTACCATACGTAATGCGTAATGGTGGGTGAACAACCAGCTCCCACTTGTTTTCCGTTATCTTCTCTGCTTGCGTTATATTATTGTTCATTCATTTTGCCTGACAGTATGGAAGCTTCCTATCAGGAAACCTCCAAGTTAATAGCTGTTGTGATCTCCCAGTCTTCTATTACCTTACACTGGTGAATATCACTTGCACTTGCATCGGACTCCCAACCAAGAGAGTTAGAGCTCAAAATAGCAACGCGATGCAGAAATGGTGTGCTTTAACACATGAGGCCCAATAATCCGTCACAAATGAGAAAGTGTAACCTCTATAAGATGAGGTGATCATGCCTAACCAAAGCGGTATTCGTGGTATTTCCCACCTGAACGCATTTCGCCAATTTTTTGGACACCTATTTCTCTATTAGCAATA